CCCATTTCACAGGTGAGGAAACTAAGGCTCAGGAAAGTTACTCAACCAAGGCCACACAGCTGATGCTTGCAGAACCTGGAGCTGAGCTCAGTTTTGCCTGACTCAGGCCCTATTCATTGAGCATCCTCTCCCGGGTGAGCTGATTATCACAGCAGGCAGCTCTCCATCTCCTCTGGAGAACTGAGAAATCCCATCAAATCTCCTGGGAGTCCCTGGCAGGAGAACGACGTGCTCTTTAGACAGCAATCCCGAGTCCCTTCAAAATAAGACAAGTGGGAATTCAAACGCCGGAAGTTTTCCAGCATAGAACGCAGTGCCGGGTACATAGCAGGTGCTCAGTAAACATTCGCTGGACGGACGAAGGGACAGGAGGAAAGAGAGAACAGGAGAGGAGACTCATGTTAATTTTAGCCTAAAGAGTGACCTCAGTTGTTACCAGTCACTCGAGTTATAAAATAATCTAAGTAAACCTGCATCTACTTTAAGCAATGTTCCTTGCTGGTGAAACTTGCAAAACAACCAGCCTGTAAAGTGTGTTCCTGGAAACTGAATGCGTAGTTTCTCTGTGCAGCTGGAAATCAGTTAAATATTTGGAGATATCTAACAAAAATTACTTGGATCATGGGAGAAATAGTTGCTTCATACTGCCCTCAAATGTTTATCGAGAGCTTAGTTGTAAGGACATTCAAAATGAATTGAGTTCTTCTAGAGACCGAGCACAATTTTTTCTGGGATTTACTAAGCCCAAATGAGTTACTGACGTTGGATTTAAACCCCATTCCCAGAATTCACTCTCTTATTTCATGACTGAGTCACTTACAACCTCCAGTTTAAACCTACTGCTTGAAAACAGAGATGATAGTTTATCAGGGGCAGAGCTCGTGTGCTGCACTTTGCTTTGGTAAAAACCAAAGCATTCCTCCTGTGGCAAATGTGCCGTCCTTACTGGGACAGTTGTAATTTTTACTACGCAAGATTCTGCTTGTTGGTTTAACAGCTTGTGCTTCCTATTAAGGAACCAGCTGTTTTCCAGCTCGCTGCACAAGCCTCCAAATCATGTATTCCCCATAAGTCACGAGATGAAAAAATTAGCGAGCCAGGCTAGAAAAGCGTTAACTGTTCTTACATAACGCTTTGCATTTCCACCAAAGCTAGCTGACAGTCTGCTTCACAGTCCCGATTTTTTAATTGTTTGGTTTTTCCCCCACAGCTTAAGTTGAGGGTTTATGGCAATAGTACTGTTCGATTCGTCTTTCTCTAGAATGATATAATTTACCTGAGGTGAGGAAGACCTCTTTCTCTCTTAACCAGAAATTTAATTCCTCTTCTCCATTTATATTTATATCATTTAGTGCTGTCATTCTCAATGGGGAGCAGTTTTGCCCCCCAGGGGACACTTGTCAATGACTGGAGACATTTTTGGTTGTCACCACTAGTGGCAGGGGGCACCACTGCCATCTAGTAAGTAGAGACCAGAGATGGTGCCACACACCGTACAATGCACAGGACAGCCCAAGAACAAGGAATTATTCAGCCCACGTGTCCATGGGACCAAGGTTGAAAGACCCTGCTTTCATGCAGCACCTGTCCATCCTCCGGATGAAAACCTTCCCTCGAGTCCTTTTGCTCTGTCCTTTAGCTGCCGTCTTGGTTGTCTCCATTCTGCTGTTGTCTTGAACGTGTGGTTTATGTCCACTGTCTCCGTCTTCTTCCTACCTATCCATACTGAGCCATTGAGAGCTCGTTTTAATCTCCCCCCTCCACGAGGAATTCTCCCCCAAGGTCACCAGGTGACTGCCTCTTTGTCCCCCGAGCCCTTTCTCCATCTCTGAGCTCCCTCTGGGACCCAATGGGATGAAACACGCATCCCAGCAGTCAAGACCCATGACAGCCGCATATTCCGTTTCTCTCCTCTTCTCTCCACTGTTTTCCAGTGTCCGTATCGACTCCCCTATCCCTGACCCATGTCCTTGCTGAGAACATATCCCCCGTTCAGCCCTCTAGTATTCTGCCCCCTTTTCTTCCCGTGGTCCCTCACATGCCTTGCTGGACACATGAACAATCCTTCCCGGCACGTGCTCCCCAGGGGAACATCGCAGAGCTTCCACCTGCCCGCGGAGCACCCGAGTCCCTTGCTGCGTTCCTGCTCGCCATTCCCTCCTGGTTACCCCACCGTCAGCCTGCATGTTGTCATTCAATAAACATTTACTAAGCACCTCTCCTAGGCTAGAGACACAGATGAATAAAACATAGTCTCTACCCTGGTAGAGTTCAGAAACTAGTAAGGGAGACAGACTTCAGGAAAAGACATCATTGATTTCAGCACTAACATAGGCACCTGTGCTGCGGGCCACAGATGTGTGGCCGGCCTGGGACTGCACGTCAGCCCAGCGCAAGGCCAGCTCGCCAGGCAGGCTGCAACGGAAACCGTTGTCCAATCTACTTTGGTGTACCTAATCATTAAATACTGCAGTAGCAGGAATCTTCCGAACATAAGTAAATTAATTGTATGAATTCTGTGAATGCACTAATAGAGAATCTATTTTTAAAACATAATCAAAAATAGAAATGTTTTAAATTGTGAATTTCATAAGTGACTATAAATATAATAGGTGTTACAAATTAATGCTAAATGTAAACTGGTACCAGGAATAATAAATATAAATTAATAGTAAATATATATAGAAATTTCTGCTTTGTCCTTCAGCTCCGTAATTCCCTCACTAATTCTCTCATCCTCATGGGATGATAAAATACTCAGGGATGAGTAAAAGCAGGAAATTGTTATCCCCGTATTAGTTTGCAAGGGCTGCCATAAAGAACCACAGACTGTGGCTGCAACACAGAAATTTACTGTCTCAGAGCCCTGGAGGCTAAAAGTTTGAGATCCGTGTGTGCACAGGGTTGGCTGCTTCTGCAGTCTCTCTTGGCATGCACATGGCCGCCTGCTTTCTGTCACTTCACACGCTCATCCCTCTGAGCATGTCTCTGTCCTACTCTCTTATAAGGATACCAGTCAGATAGGATTGGGCCCACCCTAGTGACCTCATTTCACCTTAATCATCTTTAAAGATCCTGTCTCCAAATACGAAGGTACTTCAGACAGTTTGTGGAACAATAGAATTAGGTGATATGAATTTTCCCATGAACTTTTTTTCACATTCAGAAGTACTGGGGTTAGGATTTCAACATATAAACTTGCTGGGGGGGCACGATTCAGCCCATAACACCCTCCCCTTCAAGGCACAAAGGGGTGAACAGAGGGAGGGTGTTCCCAGAGCCAGGAAGAGCTGCAGGGGAAGGAGCAACCCTTGGGCGTGCTGGCCTTGGACCCACCATCCAGTGCATGGGAGGGGTGGGAAGAAGAGAGGAATCCCCAGCTCTCTCATGGTCAGTCCCACCTGGCAACCAGATGGCAAGGAGGAGACGGCCTCCCAACACCGGAGCCCAACAGAGAAGGGAAGACTGGGCATGGGGGCAGATGGAGAGTACAGAGCCAGCCCCGCGTCAGAGCTGGTGACTGTGGGTGTTTCTGGATTAAACCAGTGCCAGCCCCATTTGGTGAGCAGCTTGCCTCAGCCCTCAAGGCACTTTGGCCTGAGGGTGCCTGAGAGACTCAGGTCCAGGTCCAGGTTTCACGTCTCCCCTTGAATGGGATTCGAACCCCAAATGCTTCCTTGGTACAAAATTTAAAGCTTGCAAATGTCTGCAGTGGATTGCAGCATTGTAACTACTGAGTGTTCCTTTCTGAAGGGCGCTCAGGTCTGTGACTGAGGGGGATGTGTTCCATTTCGTTGAGCTGTCCCCCACCTGCATGTGCTTGTCTCTCTCTCAGGAGCCTGAGCGGCAGTACATGCACATCGGCACCATGGTGGAGTTTGCTTACGCCCTGGTGGCCAAGCTGGATGCCATCAACAAACACTCCTTCAACGACTTCAAGTTGCGCGTGGGTATGTGTGCAGAGAAATGTGGGTTTCAGTTGTGGTGAGGACGTGGCGTGAGGAATAAGTCATGGGAAATGATGATCCTTGCTTGCAATGTTGTGTGGAACAATTACAAACGTGTCTTTAGAGCAGCAGGACTGGATTACAGACAGCAGGTCCTGGGAAGCTGCAAGCCTCTAAGGCACTTTCGTGCAAATTAGAGAAAATACCACTTTTGGTTGGACCCAGGCTGCAGGCACTTGGTTCAGCAAGTGAAGCACATTGGCCGGACTTCAGTTTTCAAGGGCCCTGTCCCTCTAGCCAGGGTCCTGATTGCTAGATACAGCATGCACAGCCTTAAGCCACACTGAGTTGCTGATTTACTGTAAGTCATCAACCGAAAGCTGCTCCATTATTCTACGGGAGGTTACCCATGCCACTAGGACATGCCACTGACTATAAGATACATCTATATTTCAAAGATGTAAAAATGTTTTTATAAAAAGTGTGCATCTTAGAATTGCTGACATACAGTTCCACATTCCCAGGGTCACGACCTGCAAGAACACCAGAAGTGTGTCCTAGGTTCTGAAAAAGATATAGCTTTTCAGATTGTGCTTGAACCCTGGAGAAAAATCCAACTTTCTTTAAAATAAAAAGTAAAATTTACTTAGTTGGAAAAAAAAATTCCTGATTTCTAATAAGTTCTTAAACTTTAAGTTGATTTTTTTGTTTGTTTGTTTGTTTGACTGGTAAGGGGATCGTAACCCTTGGCTTGGTGTTGTCTGCACCCCACGCTCAGCCAGTGAGCGCACCGGCCATCCCTATATAGGATCCGAACCCGTGGCCTCG